GTCTTACCCAACTGGGAGTGAGAAATGCATGCTCATCCATGGCACAGTGCTCCAAGATCTTCCTTTGCATCCACCTTGCTTACCCCATTCCCATCTTTGATGAAATTTGCTTGGGGAATGGATGGCATCCGTTAGCCAACATCATTGCCAGGTTGCCCAGATGAAGGCATCCGTTAGCTATGCCTCTGCTCCTGGCACAAAATCCCCAAGAAAGAAGCCAGAGAAGAGCCCTGAAATCCCTGCTTTCATTATGGGTGGGGCCAATCCTGACAAGTCCATGCAACCCTCACATTAAGTCATGAATCTGAATGGTGGCAGCATCTCTGATTCATATCCCTGGAAAGAACCCTCAGCCAGTGCACAGCTCATCCATCCCACATCCTTCCCATGGATACTTACGCTGGAAAACTGGAGTACTCGAAGTGGACTGGATGACGGAAGTCTGGGGTGTTGTCATAGGTATAAGTGCCCAGTGGCAAATTCCCACCCAACATGAGGTCTCCTGGCCTGTAATAGTCTTGCCATTTATGAATCCAGTTCAGGGAACATGTCACCCTCAGCATCTTCTGGATGCACTGAGGCAGGAAGCAAAAGAGCAGAAAGAGCAGAAACCAAATCATCAGCAGCACAGAGGCCTTCCCATCAAGGTCAGTGACAAGGAGATCCTGGAGAATGGCTAACTGTGCAGGCCAGAAAGAGAATTGAAATGAGTGGCTGCAAAGGGATCAGAGGCCTGCTGAACCGCAAGTGGAGAGATGGGGCATATTTCTATTCAGCCTGTTTTGCTATTGACAAGCTAGGTGGAAATCCACAGGGATCCCTGGAGAATGACCCTCATATTCGTAATTTCAGGGTAGCCAAGTAAATGCAACTCCTGAGAGCAGGGATCCTCCTTGGTACTCTGGAGGAAGAAAAACAAGTTTGCTGAAAACTTTGTTTCCCTGTGGGCCGATTGGACTTACTTTTTGTTGTCCAGTTCTCTCCTCTAGCCTGTTTGTAGCAGAGCACCATAGTTGAACTTGGAGTCCCAGCCTGGAGCAAAGATTGTTAACTAAGTTAACTGAGTCAGGAGATGTGAAGCCAGCACCTGGTGATAGTAGTGCAGAGGTGGGCAGGAAGAACAGCTTGGTGAAAGATCTGTTCTGTCAGCAATTGTAATATCCTGCAGTTTAGAGGACCTGCTAGAATGATCAATTCACAGGTGCCTATAAAACCAGAGAGATTCCTGAATGGATCGGAGAGTTTACAGGTAGCAGAAAAGGACCCTAAGGCAAAAACTCACAATCCTGCTTAAGCATCTTCCCTAGCCGTGGAGCTTCAGTGGCCTCATGGAGCTTTGGGCAATGAAGCAGGCCATGAATGGCCTAGAGCTCTCATAGCACAGGCATCAGAACTAATGTGCCCAAACAGGGTTGACTTGTTATTATGCTATAGTGCCCACGATGTAGTGGTTGTGGCTTCTGGGTAGGAGGACCACATGGCATCCTCACATCAACCTGGACTTCCACTGGCAGGATCCACTTTTGGATCTAGGTGAAGCTCAGCATCCCTTTGTATGGCTTGCATCCCGGGAGTCCAGGCATCATGGTTCCTGTGCAAAAGATTTGAGTGCGGACCAGGCCAGGCAGGAAATGGAGCCCCCACAGGCAACTACAGACCCTCAGACTGCTTTTCCTGTCCCTGCTGATGCGCCCTCCCTCCCCTAATATATTTTATACTTTTCTCTGAAGTCTCAGAGGATCTACCATGCCATGAAGGTGGTCCTGTTCACTCAGCAAGTCTGGACAGCCATTCTTGTATGCTCATTTCTTCTCTCCAGGGCAGGTCCAGGAGAACTACTGAGAGATCAGGGAAAGGCTTTCACATTGCAGCTGCACAGACTTGCTGCTGATGGAAAAGTCCCCTTTCCATCCTCAGACAGAATGGCTAGTGAAGCGCTAGGACTGCACCCCAAATAGACTCCCATGAAGGGTCGTGAGAGAGCAGCTAAAGATCAGGGGCAGGGGCAGGAGATTCTGTCCTGTTCAAGGACCAAACTCAATTTTTGAGTCATGCTTGCAGGCTGCATCCCAGTAGTGGATGGGGCAGAAAGACAAGCCCTCTCCAAAATAATACAGCCTATTTAAAAGCCAGGCAAAGATGGCAGTGCCCTGGCAAGAACCGCAGGGGTCGCTGTGAAATGCAACACCTGTGCCATGGTTGTCCATCTCCTGCTGGAACAGCAGGGGTACACTTGCCCTGACTGCAAGCTGGTGTCCCTCCTAGAGGAGAAGGTGAGGGTCTGGAGGACTCCCTCACCTCCTTCCAGGAGTTAAGGGAACACGAGTGACTCCTGGATAAGGAGAAGAGAGCTCTCCAGGCCAACTGAGAGCAGCTTCCTTCCAGGCAGGAGGATGATGGAGGGGCCAAGGGAGAAACAGTCAAGGAGTTGGAGGTATGTCACCCATAAGAAGAAAGTATGGGCTCCCCCACCATCTTGCACCAACCTGGAGCAGGAAAACAGGGTTTCTCTGCTTGGGGAGCCTGAGGATGTCCTGGTGAACTGACCTGTTCAGGAGCTCCAGCCTGGGGCTTCTCTGTTTCTGGGTTTCTCTCTCCCATCCACTTGGCTCTCACCCCAAAATATTTTATGGTTTCCTCCCTGTTCCACAGTTTTTTCCTAGCTGGTTTCCCGAGGTATTGTTTCAGGTAATGTTTTCCCACAGCCTTTTTTTTCTTTTTTTTCTTTTTTGCAGCCCGAACCCTTGCTTTAATATGTTCCCAACACAGAGAGAGAGCTTGAGCGAGAGAGAGAGAGAGAAAGAATGGCTCAGGGCTCCCTCCTGGGAAAGTGTGGATGGCACTGAACCACAGAGTGTTGTGGAATTGCAGGTTCTCACTTGGTCTTAAGGCAGCAGCCATGAGAACCAGGAGTTGCTAATCATAAACACGCAGTTCACAGTCCAATAAAAAACCGTGGTTCTTTTGATGAGTTGCTCATGGTTAATAAACTGTCCTGGCAGCATTCATCTTCCACTTATTTCTTCTCTAAACAAAGGAATGTGGAACATCTGGCTTTGTTCACACATAAAAGAATTGAGCCACTTCCGGCTGCCTGCATCTCCGGGCGGGCTCAGACAGTCACCTTCCCTGAGTCAGACCCTCCTGGGCTCAAGATGTGCGGAGTTCTCCTCTGATGGAGGTGTGCAAGCAGAACTGGGCAGCCACCTCTTGGCAATGCTGTTGGCTGACCCTGCACTGCAGAGCTGGCATTGAGCAGGGTGTAGGCTAATTGGAGGGCATTGAATAGACCTCAAAGTCATGACTTTTCTGGCCTTCGGAGAGTGAAGAGGGAAACATCTGGACTGAGGATGTGGCATGGATGTTGCTCATGCAGAATTGGAGCTGCTCTGCACCCAGGCCCAAGGCTGGTGCATGCTTTCCTCTGCTGCACTTATCCCTGAGGACATATCTGACCAGGGTTGGACTCTTGGATGATTCAGATGGATCGCTTCTACAGGTCAACTTTTGCCCATTTTTTTATATTTCAGAAGAACACCCAAATGGTTTACTAATACTTAATGACCAAACAATGATAAAATGGATACATTCTTTAAAAACTTATCTCATTACTACCAAGTTTAACAGGAGTACATAATTTTATTTATTTATTTATTTAGAACATTTTTATGCCGCCCCATTCGCAAAAAAGCCTCAGGGCAGCTTACAAAACAAATAAATATTCCTCCAATTAACATTAAAAAACCGGAGACATCTTGGCACAGATAAAAACCAATACATATAATCAACAATT